TACCAGGGGCTCCTGGCATCGCTACTAGGAGCAAGGACGCTACTAGGAGCAAAGGGCATTGCGGATCGGGTCTGAGGATCAGCACTGGGTCCGCGCGTGGGGACCCGTAGGCCCGATGCATCGACCTAGATAGCGATGCTGAAGGCGCGCTCACAGACCCGGGCACTGTATTTAGTTGAGCAGGTTTGGGCACCTGTGAACATCCCGCACAAGCACTTGGGATGAAACTTGTAGTGACTTCAACATGTACTTTTGGTGCAGCATAGTAGGAGACTTGGCGAGGCCATGACTTTCTGATTCGATCCAAGCACTAGACACACAGGATTCGGCTTTTTGACGTTTAGTTTCTACGTCAGACCCGTTGATTATTTAAGTGTCTTATAGCGGCTAAATACTTTGCCTGGGGGCTCGTTACAGCAGGTGGCGAGATAAGCTCTGACGAAGAGGCACGTTTCCATTGGACATGCAGTCCATTACAAAGGCTGATTCATGCGCGATGCATGAGGAGGAGTCGGTTGAAATTGAAAGCAGCAGCGACCCTGAGGACTGCAATCTGGCCTTTTGATGCCTTTTGTGCTTGATACTTCATATCTAACCTTGTTGACTTCTTCCAGCTTCTAGAACATCGAGCGGTGCGAAGGTCCACAAAAGATTTAATGTAAATGACTTTATACTATATATAAGTTCTGACCACCATTATTTCCGCTCTTGGAAGACAAGTCCAATCATGATGAATCCCCCAATCCTCTTTGCCTCTCTCTGTCTCTCACACCTGTCCAAGGGTTTGAAGCAGCCCAGTTGCCAGGATCTTGAGATGGAGACCTTTGTATTTCCAGTTCCAAACATGGAGGAAAGCATCATGAGCATGCGTCGGGATCTTAGAAGATACGAGCGATCCACAAGAGTAGGAGTGGAACTGTTTTTTCGATTCCGTACTCCGTCGGCTATTGAACTTCTTGGTCCCTTGCAGTAGAGCTTAGTTTCAGTCTGCATCACCAGCATCAAAGACTGCCACACAAAGAAAATGCTTGTAAATGTCCCTTATTGTTACTAGTAGCTTCTTGTTACTAATAGCGATGGCCTCCGCCTAGTAGCGCCCTTTGCTACTAGTACCGTATCCCCTCAAGTCCAAGGAAGGAAGATCCTCCATCGCCCGGACGGCGCTCTTGCAGTGCCTACCGGCCGGATGGCAAGACCCCCTAGGCAAGGAGTAAAAGGGGTAAAGCGTTGGCAACGCTTCCAGCGTTGGCACATTTGGATGTAAGGACGGTGCCAACCCAGGCTCCAGTTCTCAGGTACTGCACGAAAAAATCTCCGAGACTGAAGACCATTGGGAGGCCGGCCAGTACATGGGTCACAATACAGTGGCGTTGCCCCCCCCACCGGCGCTGGGTGAGATGATCTTCACACAACAGTGGCTCTGTTGTGATTCTCATATCTCACCACATAGAAAGGTTGACAAGAAAGGTAAGGACGTCCAAGAATTCCAAAGGTTGCGTGACCACTCCAGAAAAGCACTCTACAGCTCTATTCTGCGGGCCACTGCTGGCAATCTTAGGTGGTCAACCTTGGCAGTGGTGCCAGGTTGGTTCATCTAGATTGATTCGCATCATCTTGACAACGGTCGTGTCTGCTGCATGATAGCGTATGGCGTGACGACACATTCTCAAATCCCGTGTCAGCGCTTGTACTGTTATGTTTGACGGCTGTATTCAAGAGAATTGCCAGGGCAAGCTGGGATTGTGCCGACTGCGGAACTCTTGTTGAAAATCTAGGGAACGATTGTTTCACTTGCAGTTTGTCAGTTTCTCTGTGTCACTTCTGGGCCCAAAAGCACCATGCGTGTTTGGTAGACTTTCGATTGTCCCGGGAGTGCTGAAGCTTGTCGGCCCAGGACAGGACTTTGTCCATCGATGTCTCTTTGCTTTGTTCCAAAACAGAGGCCAGAAGAGCAGCTGAAATAATTGTAGTTTTGGATGCAAGGCCAACAGGACCTAGAACACTTCTATACAATTCTTGAACATCCTAATTCCGGTGTCATCTCAGCGAGATACTGCAAAAAGACCGTGGTACCAAGATGCCACCCTTTGCGACGGGCCGTCGCAGGTCCTCTCTGGGCCCGCACAAAGGTGGACAATTTCTTCCAGGAGATGAGATCGTGATCAGATCGTGCTGTGTGATTCACGTCGTGTGCAGCATTCCTTGAACGCCGTGCTGACTCAGACATTCGAAACGTGTGACACGTGTGACACTGAACTTTGAGTGACACTGTGTGACAACGGGTATTTGCAGGAAATCTTCTATCGTGGGGAACCAAGGATGCTGAGAAGGTGAGTTGCACAAGCCCAGTTGAGTTCTGAACATGTAGATCTGAGGACGTGCCTGCCTCGACAAGGAGCAGCAAACACAGGCAATGTGGATTCCTCTGATTTCTCCCGATTCTCCCCTGCACCCCACTTACGGGTTTGCTAGGGTAGCTGCAAAGCCATCAATGCGCCTCAAAGCGCACCCGGCACGGAAAAACACACACTGCAATTTCATGGATTGGTAGCACCATGTATGATCATGTGTATGATCATGTATGACACATACACATAATGCATATACACATATGCTAGCCCCCCCCCAAAAAAAGCTATGTTTCTGAGTGCTGGTGTGCAGTTGGTAAGCATATTTGTTCATTTAACTATGTACTACAAAAATGTCCAAATCCATAAGGTTATGTGCTTACTAAACAGTTCTTGGATGGAGTAATCTAATTCATTGCAACCCCCATGCAAAACCATATGTCTTGTTTTAGGGTGTGAATTGTACTGCTCTTATTGAATGCAGTTGAGCAAGTACATCATAATCAGAAGGCAAAGAATTGCACACCCTAAATAACTAAATTCCAGTTTAATTCTAAGTAAGTTTAAACTACAATCTATTCAATTCTACTCTACTTTGTATATTCAAATGCAATTTTGAATCTATTTCAATTATTTGTACATTCTATTTTGATTCAAATGTCTATCACTATAGATTCTACTTTACTTGGGATTCAATGCAAGCCTAATTTTATATAATTTGATTTCAAGCTAATTCTAACTTCATTGCTATACAAGTCAGATTCAATTCTAATAGTGTATTCTTGTTCAATTTAGTTTTAATTTGAGTGAAATTCTCATGTACTTCTAGAGAAGTGGTGTCACTTTGAACATGAGATATTTTATGTAGTTTTTCCAATATAGAAGCATTTGCTCTCTTAAATGAATTAAAGTCACCACCAGCAACACCCACTCTCTAGAATGACACCAAACTTGAACTAAAATTCATAGGATGAAATTAGACATATAGGAATAGAAACCAAACCTAATTTGCAATGACAATAGTGTAAAATTAGATGTATAAAACAATTGAATCTGAACTGTAAAAGGCATTAACATTAGACATTAATTACCAGTAAATTGGAAGAGTCAAAGTTACAATTGAACCCAAAATAGAATGAAATAGAACTACATTAGAAGTAGACTGGAATTAAATTAGAGTTGAATGAAAACCATTGAATAAGAATCCATTACTTAAATTGAAATTGACTTAGAACTAAGGTAGAATTGAATTAGAGTTGTTTTACCTAGAGCTTGGTTAGTAGAACAGTATTGACCTAGAAATAAATTGATTGGAATCTAAGTTCAATTAGAATTGAACTAGATCTAATTAGACTTAAATTAGAATTCAATTAGGCTCAACTTAGGCTTAAAGTAGAACTATGTCACATACTCAAATTAGAATCCATTTAAAGTTCAATTAGATTTCAATTAGACTCAACTTAGACATTTAAATAGACATACAAGTGATTTTAAATTGGAATAAGAATTGACTTAGAATTTAGTTAACTTGCATGTGCACTAAAATACATGGAAGTAAATTAGAGTTGAGCTATTGTTAATTAGAATTAACCGAGGAACACATGTCGGTAATCAGTAATATTCCAGGATCAAAATGTACTTAGTGCAATTTTGTCACTACCAGAGAATGCCAGAGAATGCATTCCTTCCCAAAACCAAGATCCAAGATCCAAGATTTGCACAGAAGTCTTGTGGAAAATC